GTGATTAATCAATATAACGAGTGAATAATCATTGATAAATCAATATAAAGAGTGATAAATCAATATAAAGAGTGATTAATCAATATAAAGAGTGAATAATCAATATCAAATGTGATTAATCAATATAAAGTGTGAATAATCAATATAAAGAGTGAATAATCAATATAAAAAGTGAATAATCAATAAAAAGAGTGAATAATCAATAAAAAGAGTGATTAATCAATAAAAAGAGTGATTAATAAATATAAAGAGTGATTAATCAATATAAGAGTGAATAATCAGTGATTAATAAATATAAAGAGTGAATAATCAGTGATTAATCAATATAAAGAGTGAATAATCATTGATTAATCAACATAAAGATGATAAATCAATATAAAGAGTGATTAATCAATATAAAGACTGAATAATCAATATAAAATGTGATTAATCAATATAAAGAGTGATTGATTAGTGATTAATAAATATAAAGAGTGATTAATCAATATAAAGAGTGAATAATCAGTGATTAATCAATAAAAAGAGTGATTAATCAATAAAAAGAGTGATTAATAAATATAAAGAGTGATTAATCAATATAAGGAGTGAATAATCAATATAAAATGTGATTAATCAATATAAAGAGTGATTAATAAATATAAAGAGTGATTAATCAATATAAGGAGTGAATAATCAGTGATTAATCAATATAAAGAGTAATCAATATAAAAAGTGATTAATCAATATAAAGAGTGATAAATAATATAAAGAGTGATTTATCAATATAAAGAGTGATTAATAAATATAAAGAGTGATAATAAATATAAAGAGTGATTTATCAATATAAGGAGTGACTAATCAGTGGTTAATCAATATAAAAAGTGAATAATCAATAAAAAGAGTGATTAATAAATATAAAGAGTGATTTATCAATATAAGGAGTGACTAATCAGTGATTAATCAATATAAAGAGTGATTAATAAATATAAAGAGTGATTAATCAATATAAGGAGTGAATAATCAATATAAAATGTGAATAATCAATAAAAAGAGTGATAAATCAATATAAAGAGTGATTAATCAATATAAAGTGAATTATCAGTGATTAATCAATATAAAGAGTGAATAATCAATAAAAAGAGTGATTAATGGAGGTTAACACTTGCCATTGTTGTAAAAAAAGTTTTGAGATTTTACATCCTTGCAACCAAAGGCAATCTCCATGAGGGAATGAATCATCAACAAGACAAAGATTTTAAAACCCGGACAAATCTCAACCTTAGGGGAAAGAGTTTTTTTAGTTGGCAAAGATGAAGGCTTACAGAGGTTCGAGATTCCCTTATCTCATCCTCAAGGAGGTGAACGATTATGTTTCTCTGTCATCTTCTGGGTTTCTATCTTCTTCTGTAATTGATCTGACACTGGAATGTAGAATGACTCTGTGCATACAAGAGGCACAACAATAATATTACGATAATGTATCGTATGTTTCTCTTGTTCTGTTTTCATTTATACTTAAACAATGCAATCGCTCTGGCTCGTATTGCACAATGTTGTTATATTGTTAAATAAATTGCACTTTCTAAATACACTTAACATATAAAACCACCCATTATCCAAAAGTTCCCTAAATATTTATCAATCTATGTCTTGAAATTTTGTCCAATCTTGAAATTGCTTTGATAGCAGTCTTGAAAATATCATCAACTAATCTGAGCATGGTTTGCTAGGCGAACTGAACCCATTAAAGACATCAATTATCAATGATATGGGCTACTTTATTACATCATATCCTTTACGGTCATACTACCAAATAAAGGCAGGGCTCGGCATTGTTCCATAAGTGTTAGCGACCTACTTTATTACATTGTATCCTTTATGGTCATACTGCCAAATAAAGTCAGAGCTCGGCATTGTGCCATAAGTGTTAGCGACCTACTTTATTACATCGAATCCTTTACCGTCATACTGCCAAATAAAGGCAGAGCTCGGCATTGTGCCATAAGTGTTAGTGACCTACTTTATTACATTGAATCCTTTACCGTCATACTGCCAAATAAAGGCAGAGCTCGGCATTGTGCCATAAGTGTTAGCGACCTACTTTATTACATCGAATCCTTTACCGTCATACTGATAAAATAAAGGCAGAGCTCGGCATTGTGCCATAAGTGTTAGCGACCTACTTTATTACATCGTATCCTTTACCGTCATACTGATAAAATAAAGGCAGAGCTCGGCATTGTGCCATAAGTGTTAGCGACCTACTTTATTACATCGAATCCTTTACCGTCATACTGATAAGATAAAGGCAGAGCTCGGCATTGTGCCATAAGTGTTAGCGACCTACTTTATTACATCGAATCCTTTACCGTCATACTGATAAAATAAAGGCAGAGCTCGGCATTGTTTCATAAGTGTTAGCAACCTACTTTATTACATCATATCCTTTATCGTCATACTGATAAAATAAAGGCAGAGCTTGGCATTGTGCCATAAGTGTTAGCGACCTACTTTATTACATCGAATCCTTTACCGTCATACTGATAAAATAAAGGCAGAGCTCGGCATTGTGCCATAAGTGTTAGCGACCTACTTTATTACATCGAATCCTTTACCGTCATACTGATAAAATAAAGGCAGAGCTCTGCATTGTTCCATAAGTGTTAGCGACCTACTTTATTACATCATATCCTTTATCGTCATACTGATAAAATAAAGGCAGAGCTCGGCATTGTGCCATAAGTGTTAGCGACCTACTTTATTACATTGAATCCTTTACCGTCATACTGATAAAATAAAGGCAGAGCTCGGCATTGTGCCATAAGTGTTAGCGACCTACTTTATTACATCGAATCCTTTACCGTCATACTGCCAAATAAAGGCAGAGCTCGGCATTGTGCCATAAGTGTTAGCGACCTACTTTATTACATCGAATCCTTTACCGTCATACTGATAAAATAAAGGCAGAGCTCGGCATTGTGCCATAAGCTTCATTAAGCCTAAAAGCCAAATAATGGGACTGGGGTCATTATCAACAAGTTAGTGCAGGATCATTTAGCAAGTCCTTGTTCAGAACTCTATTATTAATTTAGAGACTCTCATCCTTGTTGATTGATCACAGCTGTAATACATCTGGGGGCCATCAAAAAGTCATGAATTTCCTCTCTCAGGATCTGGTTCCTATTAAAGTGGTCTTTGACTGTGCTGAAAATGATTTGCTCCATGATCTTATCTGCTAGGAATGTGAGCAAGGCTGGTCTATTGTTGGCAGTGACATGTCTTTCCCCTTTCTTATAGACAGACATTATGTGGGCCTCTCCAGTCACCCAGTAAAGTTCCCATGTTTAAGTGACAGCTGGAAGATACTCGGGTATTGAACCATCTCTGGTGCTGCCTGTTTGAGTATGAAGGCCAGAATACCATCTGGGTTTGTGGCTTTGAAAGGACAAATTTGTACTAAAGCCATGCTGATCTGGATTCTTGCATGTTACTGTCACCTCAAATATTAGCATTGTGAATATGGCATCATTTGAATGTTATTGTGATGTCATACTTTTATGTCCTGACAGGGGAATCTCCCTGTTATCCTGAAGGGTATGACAAGTAAGAAAAATCACACCAGTACAGATTACCAATAGCAAATTTTATCAAATTGCAATCCAGATTATGCTGGCTCAAACATCAAAATGAAGGAATTCAGACAATTCAATTTTTTTTACTTATTTTATTACAAAATGGTCACTACTGCACATTTTATATCACACACTTATAAAAAAATCTTACACTTTACACAGTTTGTGAACTCTGACCACAAATTCACTACCTATCACATTCTTAAGCAGGATAATCACGTTGAAAAATGAAAACCTGACAAGAGACCCAACATGTTTGTATCATTCACCTTTATGGTTCATTTCACTAAAGACTAATTTTCAGAAATATACTGATTATCTTCACTCCACGGGTTAGATTATTACTGTTACTCATTACCTGAGATCTCTCTATTGAACACTTTGGAAAAATATCAATGGTGTTCAATTCTCTATTGAACACTTTGGAAAAATATTAATGGTGTTCAATTCTCTATTGAACACTTTGGAAAAAACTTCATGGTGTTCAATTCTCTATTGAACACTTTGGAAAAATATTAATGGTGTTCAATTCTCTATTGAACACTTTCAAATTAATTTTAATGGTGTTCAATTCTCTGCTTTAATGGTGTGCTATATTCAGAGATTTTGGTAATTATCATTCATTAGTTTATCAATCCGTAGGGACATTATTATGAACCTATAAATAATGGTTACTCAGACAGAAGTGCAGAAAACATGGAACACCAATTTGCCCCCTGTGACCTTGAAAGTGATTTAAGTCGTGTGAGCTAAAAGCTTTTTATGCTCTATCATTTAGGTCCAGAAATGACAACTAAATTCTCATAATTATATAACAAATGGTAAATACATATTATATCTAAATTTTAGTTTTACACAAAAATAAGTTATATCACAAGGAATTTCTTCAAGATAGAATCTATAGAGATTTAGAATTATGTACCATCAGCTATATTCATGTGTTTTCTATTAATGAAACACACAGAATCAGCTGTAAAAATACCATTAACATAAAGTTCCGTTACCAAAATTCACAGTTAATGGTCATTATTTTTTGATAATTGACTTATAGGAAACTAGTACAAGAAATTGGGATCTAATTGCACAATTTTTGTTAATTTATTCTACAGCAGTGTAAGTATTTGATACTACAGGAAACTTATAAGCCATAATTCAATTCAAATCATTGTTTGAATTCAAGCTCAAAAGTACTTTGTATTTACACAAAACAATCAGGTGATATTAAAGATATTTTCAAGCAGTTTTTGTTCAGTGGATATTTCCGTGATTATATGTATATATACATAGATATGTAATTCTTTTCTGATGTCACTCTTTTCAGCAGCGGTCAAAATTAAAAACAAGTCGCCTGAATTATTGTGGCAAAACAATATCGAAAATAAAAATCAATGACTGACATGGTTTATTACTCAAACTTAATCATTATACAGCACAGCTTTTTAAAATTCTCCAGCGGTCTGCCTTTAAGATAATATGTGACAATGTCTTACGAGAGAAAGTTTTGCCCAATTAAAGCACAGAGAACAGTAATGAAAGTCTTGCACTTATACTTCAAATAAATTATTGATAATATCGCCTAGACATTCAGTGACTTCTGTGCTTTTCCGTGGACCGATTCCAGGTTGATGCCTTCCTGACTGCTCTGGGAAAAATCCCCCGGGGATTCTGGTTCAGAGTCCGTATTTTCCAGGCTGCCATCAAACACCTTGATAATGTACTCATACAAGGTAAGATCCTTTTTCCTGGAGAATTTGTTTACCACATTTCTTTCATACTGGTCAATCAGCGTCAGGATATTACCTGTGAAAAGATGAGTAAACAGAAACTTATATAAACCTCTGACTTCTTGCATCCCCCCAATGTAACCTCTAATAACTAGACCAATGTCGAGGAAGGGCCCCGCATAATACCTACCCCTTATGATTGAGTTTCTTAATATTAAGAAATATATGGACAGGTGTCAAGTATTGAAAGCAACTTTCATCAAAATCCAATGAAAATGGGCAGATGGATCGACGGACAGGGAAACGGACGGACAGACAGACGGACAGGGTGAACATTGAACTCGAATGAGGGGCTTATGTACCAAGTATCACAAAGCAAGTTTTAAAGAAATCCCAAATCATTCCTTCAGAAGATATTCTCTGTAAAACATTCAGCCAATCATATTGCAGCAGCCTCATTAAATATGCGCGGAATTCAGCAAACATCGAACTTGAGCGAGGGACTTATGTACCAAGTATCATAAGCAAGTTTCATCGAAATCCCATCATTCCTTCTCAAGATATCGCGTGGAAAGCGAAACCGACAGACATGTAAAACATTCAGCCAATCAGATTGCAGCAGCCTCATTAAATATGCGCAGAATTTGGCGAACATTGAACTTGAGCAAGGGACTTATGTACCAAGTATCATAAGCATGTTTCATCGAAATCCCATCATTCCTTCTCAAGATATCGCGCGGAAAGCGAAACCGACAGACATGTAAAACATTCAGCCAATCAGATTGCAGCAGCCTCATTAAATATGTGCGGAATTTGGCGAACATCGATTGAGCCTTATGTACCAAGTATCATAAGCAAGTTTCATCGAAATCTCATCATTCCTTCTCAAGATATCGTGCGGAAAGCGAAACGGACAGACAGATGGCGCGACAGACGGACAGACGGACAAGGTGATTACTATAGGGCACCCGCATCGCGATGCGGGGCCCTAATTATTTCACAGTTTAAAAGTTTCACTAATATCATGGACCTATTACATTTTTCTCTATTAATGTAATCTATTCTGACCTCAAAAACTGTGAATGGTAGGATCCAAAGAAAACAAAGTTTTTAGGGATCACCTGGTCTTCTTATAGTCACTTTGACCTTCGACATGTTAACTTTGACCTGTGATCTTTGAATGATCACTTTGACACTTCACACTTGCCTTGAACTCCTTTAGTCAACTTTTTTTAACTTTAATAGACTTTCTCTTAGACCTCTATTAGTCACCTTGTCCCCTTAGTCTCCGTCACCTTGACCTCTGTTATGCTATAACTTTGACAACTGATTGATACTTTTAGCAGTAACCTAAAATCTCATAAGTTTTTAAGTCATCTTAACAACTGTTTGATACTTCTTATAATCACTTTGACCTTATCTGACATGTTGATACTTTTAGCAATAACCTGTTTGATCTTTGATAGTCGATCTTTGACACTTCACACTTGCCTTGAACTCCTTTAGTCAACTTTTTTTAACTTTAACAGACTTTCTCTTAGACCTCTATTAGTCACCTTGTCCCCTTAGTCTCCGTCACCTTGACCTCTGTTATGCTATAACTTTGACAACTGATTGATACTTTTAGCAGTAACCTAAGTTTGATCTCTGATAGTCGCTTATCTGTAAGTCATCTTAACACTTCTCACACACCATTATAACCTTGAACAGTCACCATTTACCTTTTAACATTAATTGACTGTAAAAATCTTTGCACTTTGAAATAACATGCATGTAACTCTACATCTTTTTAATTGATCGTACAAAAGGCTTGACTTGAAGGAAGAAATTAATATCTGATGCATGTGACATTTATAACATGTAAATACCAGTTATGACAAATAGGTAGGAACTCATGTATCTGGCACTTACTTATTCCTATAGGGTTGACATTGGTCAGGTAGTCATGAATTCTGTACAGGTTGTCACGAAGGTCTGTATCATCAAATGTAAAGTAACAAAGGTCACGCTTGGCCTGGGAGGCTGCTATCAGCTGGATCAGAGCTAGAAAACAAATGAGACAAGGTAGTGCTGAGGAAGTGCTGAGGAAGTGCTGATTTTGATACTACTCAAAAAGACCTTTTTATTACATTTTTAGCAGTGAAATATAGGGATATCTCAAACTGATAAAAGTGCTTCTTCGCACGAGTGAAAGATGCCAAAAATATTAGCCACACGAGTGAAATATATTTGTTATTACTGAAGACACTATTAAATATCCTATATGTATTGTGCTAACCTATCAAATTTTGTCACTTATTTCACAGATTACACTGAATCTACTGTGAGAAGAATTAATCTTCTGCTATTGTCAAGAATACACAAGTCAAAATCAAACCAAGAAAAAAAGTAGATGTCAAAAAATGACTCTGAGAAGATTTAAATGTCCGGGAAATAAAATAAAAAAATTAACGGAGGACAGAAACGTAAAAGTCATAAGTGTTAAAATGTTCCTAAATGATAATGAAGTCTACTAGGAAAATTGTTGGATGAAAATACCATAACATGTCCACAAAACTACTGACAGGCTTAGAAAACTAAATATGTATTTATTTCAATGACTGTTAAATATGCTAAACCCACCTGGTGATTCACACCAGAATTTATTAAAGCTAAAACCATATTTCTCAGAAAGGAGACTCACCTTTAAGCTGCTTGTCCCCTCCAAATGCTCCACATCCCCAGTTTCCCGTACAAACAGCAGGTAGGTTCTTTGCATCTTTGACATGTGGATTCATGAAACCACAATAGGCCTAATAAAAGGTAAGTAAAGCCAATCACAAATATTCATCTATGTCGTTTTGGTCAATATAATAATTTAATTGAAAACCATGACATATTTTCATTTCCATTTATTTTTCAATCTTTACAGAAAGAAGAATGGAGGTATAGACTCTATTTTTTTCTGAATTGGAATGTTTAAAAAGTAAGAATTTTGTGTACCTTATGATTAAGATCATAACAGAAGTGAATTAACATGACATGTACTACAGGGCCTCTGATGTGAATTAACATGACATGTACTACAGGGCCTCTGATGTGAATTAACATGACATGTACTACAGGGCCTCTGATGTGAATTAACATGACATGTACTACAGGGCCTCTGATGTGAATTAACATGACATGTATTATGTGAATTAACATGACATGTACTACAGGGCCTCTGATGTGAATTAACATGACATGTACTACAGGGCCTCTGATGTGAATTAACATGACATGTACTACAGGGCCTCTGATGTGAATTAACATGACATGTACTACAGGGCCTCTGATGTGAATTAACATGACATGTACTACAGGGCCTCTGATGTGAATTAACATGACATGTACTACAGGGCCTCTGATGTGAATTAACATGACATGTACTACAAGTATTTCTGATGATTTTCACAGGATTACTACAAGTATTTCTGATGAATGTCACAGGATTACTACAAGTATTTCTGATGAATTTCACAGGATTACTACAAGTATTTCTGATGAATGTCACAGGATTACTACAAGTATTTCTGATGAATGTCACAGGATTACTACAAGTATTTCTGATGAATTTCACAGGATTACTACAAGTATTTCTGATGAATTTCACTGGATTACTACAAGTATTTCTGATGAATGTCACAGGATTATTACAAGTATTTCTGATGAATTTCACAGGATTACTACAAGTATTTCTGATGAATGTCACTGGATTACTACAAGTATTTCTGATGAATGTCACAGGATTACTACAAGTATTTCTGATGAATTTCACAGGATTACTACAAGTATTTCTGATGAATGTCACTGGATTACTACAAGTATTTCTGATGAATGTCACAGGATTACTACAAGTATTTCTGATGAATTTCACAGGATTACTACAAGTATTTCTGATGAATGTCACAGGATTACTACAAGTATTTCTGATGATTTTCACTGGATTACTACAAGTATTTCTGATGAATGTCACTGGATTACTACAAGTATTTCTAATGATTTTCACAGGATTACTACAAGTATTTCTGATGATTTTCACTGGATTACTACAAGTATTTCTGATGAATTTCACAGGACTACTACAAGTATTTCTGATGATTTTCACAGGATTACTACAAGTATTTCTGATGAATGTCACAGGATTACTACAAGTATTTCTGATGAATGTCACAGGATTACTACAAGTATTTCTGATGATTTTCACTGGATTACTACAAGTATTTCTGATGAATGTCACAGGATTACTACAAGTATTTCTGATGATTTTCACTGGATTACTACAAGTATTTCTGATGAATTTCACAGGATTACTACAAGTATTTCTGATGAATGTCACTGGATTACTACAAGTATTTCTAATGATTTTCACAGGATTACTACAAGTATTTCTAATGATTTTCACAGGATTACTACAAGTATTTCTAATGATTTTCACAGGATTACTACAAGTATTTCTAATGATTTTCACAGGATTACTACAAGTATTTCAGATGATTTTCACTGGATTACTACAAGTATTTCTGATGATTTTCACAGGATTACTACAAGTATTTCTGATGAATTTCACAGGATTACTACAAGTATTTCTGATGATTTTCACAGGATTACTACAAGTATTTCTGATGAATGTCACAGGATTACTACAAGTATTTCTGATGAATGTCACTGGATTACTACAAGTATTTCTGATGAATGTTACTACAAGTATTTCTGATGAATGTCACTGGATTACTACAAGTATTTCTGATGAATGTCACAGGATTACTACAAGTATTTCTGATGATTTTCACAGGATTACTACAAGTATTTCTGATGAATTTCACAGGATTACTACAAGTATTTCTGATGATTTTCACAGGATTACTACAAGTATTTCTGATGAATGTCACAGGATTACTACAAGTATTTCTGATGAATGTCACAGGATTACTACAAGTATTTCTGATGATTTTCACAGGATTACTACAAGTATTTCTGATGAATTTCACAGGATTACTACAAGTATTTCTGATGATTTTCACAGGATTACTACAAGTATTTCTGATGATTTTCACTGGATTACTACAAGTATTTCTGATGAATGTCACAGGATTACTACAAGTATTTCTGATGAATGTCACTGGATTACTACAAGTATTTCTGATGAATGTCACAGGATTACTACAAGTATTTCTGATGAATTTCACAGGATTACTACAAGTATTTCTGATGAATGTCACTGGATTACTACAAGTATTTCTGATGAATGTCACAGGATTACTACAAGTATTTCTGATGAATTTCACAGGATTACTACAAGTATTTCTGATGAATGTCACAGGATTACTACAAGTATTTCTGATGAATGTCACTGGATTACTACAAGTATTTCTGATGAATGTCACTGAATATTTCACAGTTCCTCTGGAGTTTTTTTCTCTGTATATTCAAAAGTTCCTCTGTAATTTTGTTACTTTTCTGCAATTACAGACTGATGAAATTTGATATCTATATTTACTGTTTTAAGTGTACAATACCTTGTTGAGTTCCCTAGTAACTGAGCTAGACTTGAATTGGCGAGCATATCCATGGAAGATGAGGGCATCTATAGCTACCACATCTGTACACCGTCGTCCCCAGTCATCTCTGTCAACATAAAACTTCAGGTCATTGTGTCAGCTTTTAGATAATGTCACACAATATCATTAAAAAAAGCATTCAGTTATCAATTGACATGTAAATTAAAGGCTCTCCACAATGTCTATTTGTCAGACTTCTTCATAATTCCTCTCAGTAAATCTTTTTTAAAATGTCTGTAATACTCTGTAAAACTGTAAAACCTCTATATAATGTCAGTCAGTAAAACCTCTATATAAGGTCAGTCAGTAAAACCTCTATATAATGTCAGTCAGTAAAACCTCTATATAATGTCAGTCAGTAAAACCTCTATATAATGTCAGTCAGTAAAACCTCTATATAATGTCAGTCAGTAAAACCTCTATATAATGTCAGTCAGTAAAACCTCTATATATATAATGTCTGTCAGTAAAACCTCTATATAATGTCTGTATGTAAAACCTCTATATAATGTCAGTCAGTAAAACCTCTATATAATGTCTGTCAGTAAAACCTCTATATATATAATGTCTGTCAGTAAAACCTCTATATAATGTCAGTCAGTAAAACCTCTATATAATGTCTGTCAGTAAAACCTCTATATAATGTCTGTCAGTAAAACCTCTATATAATGTCAGTCAGTAAAACCTCTATATAATGTCTGTCAGTAAAACTTCTATATAATGTCTGTCTATATATATATAATGTCTGTCATATAATGTAAAAAAACCTCTATATAATGTCTATATATATAATGTCTGTCAGTAAAACCTCTATATATATAATGTCTGTCAGTAAAACCTCTATATAATGTCAGTCAGTAAAACCTCTATATAATGTCTGTCAGTAAAACCTCTATATAATGTCAGTCAGTAAAACCTCTATATAATGTCTGTCAGTAAAACCTCTATATATATAATGTCAAAAAAACCTCTATATAATGTCTGTATGTAAAACCTCTATATAATGTCTGTATAATAAAACCTCTATATAATGTCTGTCAGTAAAACCTCTATATAATGTCTGTCAGTAAAACCTCTATATATATAATGTCTGTCAGTAAAACCTCTGTATAATGTCAGTCAGTAAAACCTCTATATAATGTCTGTATGTAAAACCTCTATATAATGTCAGTCAGTAAAACCTCTATATAATGTCAGTCAGTAAAACCTCTATATAATGTCTGTATGTAAAACCTCTATATAATGTCAGTCAGTAAAACCTCTATATAATGTCTGTCAGTAAAACCTCTATATAATGTCAGTAGTAAAACCTCTATATAATGTCAGTTAGTAAAACCTCTATATAATGTCAGTTAGTAAAACCTCTATATAATGTCTGTATGTAAAACCTCTATATAATGTCTGTATGTAAAACCTCTATATAATGTCTGTCAGTAAAACCTCTATATAATGTCAGTCAGTAAAACCTCTATATAATGTCTGTATGTAAAACCTCTATATAATGTCTGTATGTAAAACCTCTATATAATGTCAGTCAGTAAAACCTCTATATAATGTCTGTATGTAAAACCTCTATATAATGTCTGTATGTAAAACCTCTATATAATGTCAGTCAGTAAAACCTCTATATAATGTCTGTATGTAAAACCTCTATATAATGTCTGTCAGTACGGCCACTATATAATGTCTGTTAGTAAAACGTCTTACCTTGGCGTTTTGTCTTCATAGTTGTCCTTCCACCTGAATGTTTTAGCATAACCATCATAGTCACTGAAACGCTCACAACCTGTGAAGAAAAATCAATAAATCTGTTTCATCCATATATCATCAAACATGTCAAGTCTTTCTGCATACAATAAATGTGAACTTTCTGCAGGCAGCTGGACCCTTGGACCTACCTTTCATAATGAGGCACTCATTGTTTTCAAGACACTCTGTAATGAGGCGGGACACAATCATTTCAGGGCAGATTAGAAAACGGATTTCTTCCTGAACACAACCCTGCCCAAAGACTCCGCCTCCCAGGTACTTATTGGCAAAGTCAACCTACAAAATAAGGTGTCATGTGCTGGTTTCTGTACAAAATACTAATAAGAAACAGGAAAATACATAGAAATCCATAGGAAGGTCAACATCTCTTCCTTAGGTTCATATAAACAAATATTCACCTCATTTCAAGTCTGTTATTGGTTGAATACTTTTACAGCATAGGTCCATGTAAACAATGGACTTAAAGAATAAGTAACAGATTAAGGGAAAACAATTTGCATGAAATTGTAAATGTGTCATTAAACGAAAGCTATTATTCAACATTTTATATTTGACAATGTTTTTGTTTTTTGCCAGAGCAGGAATTTTTTTAGAAATTAACAAAATCTATATCATTATCCTCATACCTGTAGCATGCCTATCCCATCATCCTCTATTGTGCCCTCTGCAGACACATGTAAACCCCGTAGAGATGTGTCTAATTTTTGCCAATCAGGAAACTTGTCAACAGTCTGTCGAATAAATGTCACAGTACCTGTGGGAACTGAATAAGAACAAACGTGTCAGTTGTCTCCAAGCACACCTTAGATTCTATTATTAAATGAGAATTTCCTATTCAAAGTTCAGTCATCAGTCTAAGGTTTGTTTTCATGAGCCCTTTTCAACTTAAGAGCTAAAACAAGAGGCCCAGAAGACCTGTATCGCTCACCTGGATCTTTATGACCAACCGTACAATATCTGTGCATATGTTCCACGTTTAACACATTTGACCCCTGTGACCTTGACTATGAGTCAAGGTCACTTTTGAGTTTTCTGGTAAAAAAGACTTTCTGAGTTCTAATGTGTCAGGAGTAATCCCCACAACTTGATCATTAGGACAAAGTTGATATGAGTTTTGAAAACAAAACATATGCACAAGATGATTTCATGCTTTAAACTATATTGCATACTGGTAATTGTGCTTACCTGAGGAAGTGACACGTCGGAAATAGTTCATTATACATCTCATCTTCTCTAACTTCACCTGGTTTGGCTCACCATCAAACAAGCTGCAGTCAACAGTGTTAACATTTATAAAGAGTCTATCAGAATGAAAGTTCACTTCTAAAAAGGACATAACCTTTGTAATCGTTTATCAGAATGAAAGTTCACTTCTAAAAAGGACATAACCTTGGTAATCGTTTATCAGAAAGAAAGTTCACTTCTAAAAAGGTCATAACCTTTGTAATCGTTTATCAGAATGAAAGTTCACTTCTCAAAAATGGTCATAACCTTGGTAATCGTTTATCAGAATGAAAGTTCACTTCTCAAAAATGGTCATAACCTTGGTAATCGTTTATCAGAATGAAAGTTCACTTCTGAAAAGGACATAACCTTGGTAATCGTTTATCAGAAAGAAAGTTCACTTCTAAAAAGGACATAACCTTGGTAATCGTTTATCAGAATGAAAGTTCACTTCTGAAAAGGACATAACCTTGGTAATCGTTTATCAGAAAGAAAGTTCACTTCTAAAAAGGTCATAACCTTTGTAATCATTTATCAGAATGAAAGTTCACTTCTCAAAAATGGTCATAACCTTGGTAATCGTTTATCAGAAAGAAAGTTCACTTCTAAAAAGGTCATAACCTTTGTAATCGTTTATCAGAATGAAAGTTCACTTCTGAAAAGGACATAACCTTGGTAATCGTTTATCAGAAAGAAAGTTCACTTCTAAAAAGGTCATAACCTTTGTAATCGTTTATCAGAATGAAAGTTCACTTCTCAAAAATGGTCATAACCTTGGTAATCGTTTATCAGAATGAAAGTTCACTTCTCAAAAATGGTCATAACCTTGGTAATCGTTTATCAGAATGAAAGTTCACTTCTGAAAAGGACATAACCTTGGTAATCGTTTATCAGAAAGAAAGTTCACTTCTAAAAAGGACATAACCTTGGTAATCGTTTATCAGAAAGAAAGTTCACTTCTAAAAAGGTCATAACCTTTGTAATCATTTATCAGAATGAAAGTTCACTTCTCAAAAATGGTCATAACCTTGGTAATCGTTTATCAGAAAGAAAGTTCACTTCTAAAAAGGACATAACCTTTGTAATCATTTATCAGAATGAAAGTTCACTTCTAAAAAGGACATAACCTTGGTAATCGTTTATCAGAAAGAAAGTTCACTTCTAAAAAGGTCATAACCTTTGTAATCGTTTATCAGAATGAAAGTTCACTTCTAAAAAGGTCATAACCTTTGTAATCGTTTATCAGAATGAAACTTCACTTCTAAAAAGGTCATAAATATTTTCTGTCAACTTTATAAGTACAAACTTTACAAGTATATAAATACAAGTGTGATCCAAACTTAACAAACATACCTGTTAAAGTTGATAGAAGGGTAGTTACTATATTCTGATGTCTTCTGTCTTGCATTTCTTCTTGGGAAAGTACAAAAGAATGCATTAGCTAGAAGACAGGAAATTTGCTGTTGACTGAAGGTCACACTTCGACTTTTTTCTTTTTTCAAAAGAGGTATTGGCTGGAAAAAGATCAATATTGGTTTTAGATCTGTTTCTTAAATCAGTTGAGAATGTGATAGTACTTGCTTGGATTGACCAACATATGACCACTGATCTACCATGGTAATGAGGTGAAAAACTTACTAGTTGTCATTGTTTCATAAAAGGTCAGGTGTAGCCTAGACTGATGACCAACAAAACCTTATTTTATTCAACAAATTTTACTAATAATTACATGTCAACTATGTCTTATGAATAATAAGCCTTTATTTGTAAATTCTCTCAAAATGCAGCAAACATATCTTTTGAAGTGGAGAATACACAACAGTATAAGGAAAGTAACTCACTCTTACAATAAACAATGGACACAAAATACATACACAATATACAATGATTAATGATAGTTCAAAATGCATACAAACTGGCATGTCATACAACTAATGGTAGACATTGTACCTACAAACTAGCATGTTATACAACTAATGGTAGACATTGTACCTACAAACTAGCATGTCATACAACTAATGGTAGACATTGTACCTACAAACTAGCATGTCATACAACTAATGGTAGACATTGTACCTACAAACTAGCATGTCATACAACTAATGGTAGACATTGTACCTACAAACTAGCATATCATACAACTAATGGTAGACATTGTACCTACAAACTAGCATGTCATACAACTAATGGTAGACATTGTACCTACAAACTGGCATGTCATACAACTAATGGTAGACATTGTACCTACAAACTGGCATGTCATACAACTAATGGTAGACATTGTACCTACAAACTGGCATGTCATACAACTAATGGTAGACATTGTACCTACAAACTGGCATGTCATACAACTAATGGTAGACATTGTACCTACAAACTGGCATGTCATACAACTAATGGTAGACATTGTACCTACAAACTAGCATGTCATACAACTAATGGTAGACATTGTACCTACAAACTAGCATGTCATACAACTAATGGTAGACATTGTACCTACAAACTAGCATGTCATACAACTAATGGTAGACATTGTACCTACAAACTAGCATGTCATACAACTAATGGTAGACATTGTACCTACAAACTAGCATGTCATACAACTAATGGTAGACATTGTACCTACAAACTAGCATGTCATACAACTAATGGTAGACATTGTACCTACAAACTAGCATGTCATACAACTAATGGTAGACATTGTACCTACAAACTAGCATGTCATACAACTACTGGTAGACATTGTACCAAAGTCTAATCAGGTGTAAAACTCAATGTTACTGTAGTATAGTGTGAATATGAACTGAAATTGATAAAGGATTTATGAGATTTATGAGTTTTTTTCAGGATGGATTAAAGATGTGGTCAACTATTATTAATATGTATTAGGAACAGCTATTATTAATATGTATTAGGAACATCTATATCATGCCATTTGAATTTGATGGTATGCTCACTTCACAGTTCATCAAAATTTCATTTTCTCTTACCTGGGTACAAAGATTTGGAAGGTTCAGGGCTAGCCTGACCATTTCCTTTAATGTTGTTTTGAAAAAGTGATTTCTTTCCGCCACCTCGATTTCCTATTAAATTAAGACAGTGATATGGGACTTAAACTAAGAATATAAACCACATTTTTTTTCATTAAATAGACATTTCAAATGTCATTCTTAAAATTTATGGAATACAAATTAAACTGAATACAATTTTGAAATTCAAAACTTCAAGAAATAGAGATCCAATAAATTCCTAATTTAAAACAAGAAAAAATAAGCATAATTTGTTTACAAAATTCATATATTGAAAATCTGTGGCAAATATTATCAAAATATAGGAATATGTTTATTACAAATTTTTGCAAATAGTATGTTGATTTGAACATTTTCATTTTAGAATATTTTATTGCACAAACAGAAATACAATATGGATAGAGCAACAGGCAAAGCCTACACTAGCCCTCTCCTTAAAATCAAATTAGATTTCAATATAAATCAATAATACACTTACTTTGGAGAAGAAATAGTGAAGGGTTTTGAAGTCCCACCTTTCAGAATATCTCGAATTATATGTCAAGATAACTTCCTGGAATTCAAATAAAATAAAATCTGTATTTCAGGAAGGAAATGCTGGAGATACGGTATTTAAGAGAGAATTAATATGGTAAACATATGTATCTGATCAAATGTGTACACATGTGTAAATGTGTATATTGATCTTAATTTTTTCCATTATCAGGGTTGAAACTCATGTATCCCACAAATCTGTCAGGTGTTACTGTAGAGCGTGTTATTTTGTGGTGAGGATATTTTTGCTGCATTAAATAATGAGAATGGTGTAGTAGATGTGTTTCTGCATCCAGATCACAAAATTTTGATTCTTTGAAATATAGTTTGATTGTTTTAAAAGAAAAATCCAGAAAATTTCGACCCTTGATAATTACGAATATATACAGTAATTTCAAGGTGTCAACTTTGATTTTATTATTGTTCATGTCATTGAAAAAAGTAGAAAAAAAATGGGGCAAAGCCACAATTGGCCAGGTTGCGGGATGAGTGCAATGTTATATATTGTGCTCAAAAAAACATTTCAGCCAGTGAGAGGCTATCGTGCTCAAAACACCATCTCAACCAATGAGAGGCAAAGACTGCCATCTTGGATTATCCACGGCAGGCTGTTCCAAAGCCCGGAAAATCCAGAAAAAACGTCCGGAATGAATCCTAAATAAATAGGTGCACATCTTCAACATATATATAAAACATCCTGTAAAGTTTCAAGCTTCTACGTCAAAAACTCTAGGAGGAGTTGATTCTACAAAACTGGTACCCCTTTTCCCTGCCAAACTGCGGAAAATGACTAAGTTCCAAAGCCAGGGATATCCAGAAAAATGTCTGGAATGAATCCTTAATAATAGGAGGTGCACATAAACAACATATATATATAAACATCCTACAAAGTTTCAAGCATCTACGTCAAAAACTCTTGGAGGAGTTTATCTGCCAGCCTAGCCGCCCACCCACCCATCTGCCCGTCTGACATTCATTATACTATGTGCAACCCGGCCAAAAATCAGCATTGGTTTGATTAGTATTATCAAAACCTTAAGTCTTGCTTCATATATCTAATCTATGCACAAATCGTTATTACATAATGCTGATTTCAATAGCTGAATGAAATGACTGTATGTGGTTAATATTTCTCAGCTATGTGTCACATATGAAACCGACATACTTCTAGTTCATATGGGCCATGAATGTCACAAAGTAAGACTTCCGTGATCATATCCCATCGCCTCCTTACTGTCTGTTTTCCATCCTGTAAAATATCAAATAATATTCACAATTTATCAGTCTTAAAAAAAAACAAAAATAAAATAAAATTCATATATTTGTTGTTCTCTTGAAGAAGGCAAACTCTTGCTCTAATCCACCCATGTGGGTAAGTGGGTATCTATATACAGGGAAGGCTTAAATATTCTTGGTTTGTTTTCTGATGATGGTTTTAAAATGAAAAAAACAATATAAATCAACCTGTCTCCAAAAAATATTTCAAATTCAATGTAAGTAAAGAAAAACTGTCAAGAAAGTGCCTTTGTGCATGAGGATCATTATCTCTGTATAACTGCTTCCTGTGATTTGAACCTCTAAACATGTATCATGTTTTATTTGCCATCTTGTTTACCAGCAAGAGTAGTGATAGTCCAGTGTGTGGAGACTAAGCAACTTCTAGTGAAGATCTAAGTTGTGTGGTTGGGCAAGGCACTTTACCCCAATAGCTCTGGAGAGCATGAGGAGGACATTTCTTATGGTGTTCATTTCAGTAGCTAGTAGCTTCCACGAGACCTCAAAATCACTTGTATATTCATAGAATGATGAATTCAGCAAACAAACAAATTGTTTACCATAATGATGCTTCACTTTGAATTTATAAGAGCTTAGAAAAGAAATAATGACCTACCTTGCCCTTGACTGGGTATTCATTGTAATTAGAACAAGGCATCCTAACATGGTCATTGTCCCAACGGTCCTTGAAGTTGTATGGGAAGGGATCAGGAGGCTTTCCAGAGTACTGAAACTGGATCAGGAATATCAGAATTAACAAGGTATATATATAATATTTATATCTCTTCTAGATAGGGAATCCAATATCCCATAAAAAAATCAATTGCAATCTTATATCTCACTCATCCTGCTTTATAAGTATGGTCACTTCCAATCAAAACGCAAAATACAATACACTTTATGTCTACCTCCCCATCTCCTCCACACACATGCCCCTATCCCCCTTAAAATTTTTTTAAAAAAACCACACACAAAATTTCTAGTAATCTTTTATGTAGACATCATAGATATGGTGTTGTCATGTTTAAATCTTGATGCATTGTACATGTTGTACAGAATGTGAACAACAACAACAACATTTATCAAGTTAGTAAAATTCAATCCTTGTTTTGAATTACAATACAAATATAAGTTAACATATATGGGACATTTATTTCAGCGATTTCTGTTTCAATTTAATTGTAAAGGCGGAAAATTCCTAAACAGGAAATATTTCTGAACAGGAAACCAATCAAACCTATGACTCTAGTTTACAAAGAATCAGCACTGGAAACACTCATTTGTTACACGAAAGTGCATCTACATGTACTTAACACACACTTACGTCTGCTATTAATGACCCTCTGGAGCAATGTAAAGGCTTCAGTGATAAGGAGCCTAGTCAGTTTTACACATATTAAACAAAACTTTCATTTTGTTAAAAAACACTGAAATTCAATATACAGTAATTCAATATACACTAATTCAAAATAATTCTTTAAACACACGAAATTGGGAAATAAAAATAGATTTGCAAATTTTCATGAGATGAGCAATCAGGTCCTCAAGATGGCAGTTTCCATAATATTTACTGATGAAATGGAAACAAGCTTGCGGATTCATGTACTTAATTATCAAAACAATAGAAAACTATCCTGAAAACTTAAACACAAAGTGCAGTTGTTATAGGAGGAAATTATTCAAAAGTTATTCAAATTATATTTATTTTCTTCTTTGAATTTTTTCTCAGATTTAAAAAACCAACTGCCCTATTACCTAATCAAAAAAGGAGTTGTGTAACAGCAGCTTCTACAGAAAATCACTAAACGGTTCAATTTTCATTTTGTATCTGGTGAAAAACATTATAACATTTATATCTCTGTTAAAAGTTGTGCACTTTCTGTTAATTATAATATTTTAAAGTTTGCATAACCATTTTATCAAAAACGTCAAAAAATTGAAATTAAATAGGAATGACCCAATAATAATTTATATAATTATCGTTCTGAGATTGTAAACAATGTTTTTTGCGCAGAAAAATTCAAAAATCATAATGAAGTGGTGGGTTTAAATAATATTCCTGAAGGTCATCTGATGAACTTGGCTATCTCTGATCAAACCATAACAGCGAGTGTCAACCAGTGTTAGTTTGAAGCTGATAATCTTTATCACTTTTTCTCAAAAACTGCCATGATTTCATAAACAGTTTTATTTGAAGTATAACAACACCTGCCTCAAACCAATGGGAAAAATATTGAAATCTAACCATTAAGTTCCTTTAAGTGATCCATTTTATGATGTTACAGAATTAATTTTTATTTTCATCATGAAAGACAAAGGCCAAAATATAGGTCAAAGTGGTCTATTTTTGGTAAGGGTCATTCCCGACTTTCCAAGGTGATGCCGTACAGTATACCAGTACTATGGTAACATTTTCTAACTTATGAATGTCAAAAGGCAAAAAATATAGGTTGCAATGATCTTCTTGTGGTATAAAGCACAAAAATTTCTAAAGGTGTATGCACATACAAATATCGGCGACCCTTTGTGAAAACATTGATGAAAACATCTATGTAAGAGGGACAGACATGAATGTTTCTAAAAAGTCAGATAAAATTTGTAAATATCACTCATCTTTTTAGGTCAGGTAAACAGACCAGTATCCTACAAAAAAAGGTGTGAATTTTCCCTATCTCCTCCATTTAAAGTTGAAATTTTCAAACATTAATAAAAAAAAAAATGCTATGCTGGCTCTGGAGCCTTAATGATACAACCAGTGTTGACTGTGCTTAAAATAATAAATTTAGACAAGAAAATCATAAATTTAGTTCTTATTACTATAGTAGTGTTTACAAAATTTTGCAAAACAGCCCTATGTCAATTAAATATTCCCAAATCTGAACCTATGGCCAAACTGCTGAACTCCCCTGCATAATAAACTGTACTAATATTTCCCTGACTGTGCCAGGTTTGAAGGGCCTCGACTCAAATTCTTCCTCATCTACATTTGCATCCTCTTATAATAGGTTAACTTACAGAACCTTATCTACATGTTGTACTATAATGCTTTAGTTTTTATTTGGTACTAAGCATATTTCAATATGTACATGTGAACAGAACATATGGTGATGTGTGACCCTAACATATGATGTATGACCATCTGCATGTCCGCTATTCTGATTTACATACAACAGTTTTTCAGGGTCATCTAGCTTGAAACACAATAAGTAGAACAAATATCAATAATAAGTCTTCCATGATATTTCTGCATGACAACACTATTCTCAATTTTAAGATCTTAAGACTTCATTTCTCTATTTGTTTGATAATCTTAAGTATCCCTAATAGCTTTTGTTGCCATTGTTAATCTTGTTCTCATATTTCTTTTGTTCATATCTTTTGTAAATTTCAGAGATTCGGAGATTAAATCAAAATTATTTCATTAATATGTCTACACTAAGTTTTTTGTTAGTTTTGCACTAAGAAGACTGATTTCAATCTTTCATAGTTAAATTCATACTAGGATTGTAATATCTTTGAAGTTAAATATATAATTTTGAGTCATGGTATGGATGTCGCAGAACTATTCTTAATGTTAACTGGTACTAATTAGCTGGAATAAGAAAGATGGACGGTTAGAGAGCCAGAATGGTGAAACAAACTAGAGAGACATGTGGACAGAAAAGGAGGATGGATAGACTGATGCAAGAATGGACAGTTTCTGCAAAATACTGACTTACCGGAACCTTGAACAAGACTTTATGAGCAGCAACAGATGCGAGACACTGAAGCTTTTCCAAACAGCTAGGGCTTCTGTTCATTTTGGTAATAGGCATTCCCTGCCAAAAGAGATATGATTAAGTAATGATACACTGTTACATAAAATCAAAAACATCAATGATGACAATAATGTAGGGTTGCCATTTACAAAGGCTATACATTGTTTTGTCATCACATTACAATAAAGTGAGGTAACCTCTAAAAATATGTTCAACAGACAAACAACAAAATGTCTGTAGAGCTTTTATTAAGACGTTGATAAGGAAACAATTGTTGTTTTGGATGTATAAGGAAAATGAAATCAACATTCCATCAGTGGAAATCACCTGACCAAGCTGATGTCAACCCCAACATTATTTGGGCAAAATGTTCAAGCCAGGATACACTTATCTTAAAATTCATATTGTCAATGATCATGGCTCTCTAGGCACCCTGTGAATTACCTTCCAGGATCATTAAATACCTACCCTGAAAACACAGTCGTTTTTTCGTTCGCTTGGTTTTCTGGTAGGAATGTCAAGGATATGGTCTTCACTGTCTGGTCCTACAGAGTTCCGCATGTCAGACTGATCCGAACTGTAAAAGTCAAACTTAATTTGTATGTTTTTTTTTCAATATCTTCACTTGCACGCTCTTATATGTTACGCTATGAAAATCATTCCAAATTTTGCTGCAGAATACATTGGTAAGTATATACTTTTTCTGTGATAAGCCCGGGGAACTAGCACCTTACCTCTGACTCAAAGTTAAAAAATTGGGTTATCACAAATATCAAAGCATTGTTAATTCTAAAATATGAGTACTGGGTAGACATCTGACAAGGGGTTAATGCTCTTTGATATAATACCTTAATGCTATTGGTAGTCATCAAAAGTACTTTTGTTCACATATACTGTAAATGTACATATGTTCGCACTTTTTTCACTGACAGTAATAGTCTAATTGGCCTTTCTTTATGCTTCGTAGTTTTTGTGTAGGATTTATGTTTTAGAATAGCAGATAAGTATTGAGGAAACAGAAACAAATATTTTTCATGTATTACAAAGACAACATGTAAATAATCATCAGCTTACTCTGAAAACAATGTTGGAGAATCACATTCCATTGGTAGTGTTGGGGACTGGTTGTTTGTTCCGTGAATAGCATCTGCCAGAGAAGATGGACCTGTTGATAAATAAAGCACATATGCTAATTTATTGCTGACCTCTTTGTTAATTCTCATGAAAACATCAGTACTTATGATTACTGTCAACTACAGTTAGAAAGTGCATATGCATTGAAGAGTACACTGCAATAAAAGACATTTCATGTCTTTAAAGGGATATTCCACTGAAACTGCGAAATTTCTGGCGGTCCTGAACTCATTCTAGTGACTTCTGAAATTAATGTTAGCATCAAAATATCTCTCTTGTGAGTTAGTTTGGACAGGTGAAATTGGTGGAAATAATCTTAGCCAATGTAAATTTAACCATCTAAATATAGTGTACGTGGAAATGCGGAACTGAAGGATCACTGAATCATAAATTTTATGCAGAGTATTGGGTAAATACACAAAAGTGTGTATGCTGTTCACTAAAATTTCTGCTGTGGTTGCAATTTAGTTGCAAAGTAATGAGAACACAAACCTGTTCTGATCCAATCAGGGCAAAGTGAACATTTGTAAATCAATCTTGCTAGATCTATATATAACTTCCACAAATTAAATATTATCTGTTTATTCAAATGGTATATTTATGTGTACGATTTCCATAATCAGCAGATAACTTTGTTCAATTTTCTTCGAAGCATCTTATGAAATTCTAACTTGTGTGGAATATACGTTTATAAATCACTCTTCTGGATGTTAATTGGTATTTCAAATCTTTATTTTTTGCGAATCTTTTTCAATTAAATTTTTCAAAGCAAAGCATCCCTCCCTCCTTTTCTCTATCTCTTGTTCAAAAGACAAATACATACACTTTGTCTTGAAATTTCATGAACATAGATAACATTTCACAATTACGTATGATTCTTGTCTTATAATTCACTGTTGTTTTATATTATAGTCATTTGTCAAGTTGTGACATAGTAAAAGTAGTTTTGTACCTGGAGCTGATGTAACTCCTTTAAAATCGCTACCAACTGAGGTTCCCGCAAGACTAGTTCCCGCTTGACTGAAACAGAAATTGTTTTTATTAACTTACAGGCAACTGATGAATTAAAGAGTATTAGATGTAGCTGCATAATGTTTTATTTGTAGTTATTTTTAGACTCTACAAATGTTTTATTTGTAGTTATTTTTAGACTCTACAAATGTTTTATTTGTAGCTATTTTTAGACTCTACAAATGTTTTATTTGTAGCTATTTGTAGCTATTTGTTTTATTTGTAGTTATATTTTGTACCCATACTCTACAAATGTTTTATTTGTAGTTATTTTTAGACTCTACAAATGTTTTATTTGTAGCTATTTTTAGACTCTACAAATGTTTTATTTGTAGCTATTTGTAGCTATTTGTAAACTCTGTTACTGCAGCAATCTATATTTATGAAATCAGTGCACATTGTATACAGCTTTTTGACAGTATATTTGTACCCATAGAAAAACTTTATATGTGCAATCAAACCTGCTTAAAAAGGTCACTTTCACATAAAGGTCTCCTCTCTATTAAGGTGTAATACATAGTAATGAAAGCTCTATATAAAAGTATGGATTACATGAGGTCAACACAAACAAAATGATGATGTTATGAATTCCCGATGTGGAAGTCAAGACATCCTGATCAAAATTTAGGAATCACCTGAAGATGGTTGTTAGTGAAACACAATATCCACTGTAAAGACTTAATCATTCAATGAAAATTGCAAAGGTACATGTATTGTATAAACAGGTAATCTGATAATTTTTATCATTCTTCTATTTATCATTTTTATATTTTGCATAGTTTTCATTCCATATTTATGAAGACTTGTTTCCAAAATCAGATTTCAATGACAAATATCAACAACTGCAGCGCAAAAAACTTACAGGCTGATGAAGAGAATTTTCATGATAAAATCTTATGATCTCATTCAGAATGTTTCCTCATAAAACATCAAATTTGTTTGTTTCATTATCATTTATCTGGTTCCAATTTTAAGAACATGATACAAATGTATTACATGACCTGACCTAGATTAACATGACAGGTGCCATCAATGAAGTGGAGGACACTTACCCATCATAAGTACCTGGTCTTATCATTTTTGTAATTTTTAGGTAATATTTTTTAAGAGAAAGGACAAATATGAACTTAACTTAATGTCCTTGATTTTTCTGTCAGGAACCCATTATGATGTTAAGAGCAAGTTTCTTTAACTTAGATATTTTTCATAGTCTATGCTGCTAGTTAAGCAGCCTATTGCAATCTCCAACCAGACAAAAAATATCCTTATAAACTATCTTCTACTTACAGTTGGATATTGTACATTTGCACTGTTTTCATCTCATCTTAGATAATATATGACATGTATTTAAATATGACAATCTACATATGTACCTGGTTGTCTGAGGGAGTTTAACACTGACTAAAGGCTTCACTGGGAGGTTTGCTTTAGAATCAGCCATTTTATTGGTGTTCTTCTTGGTCTTCTGTTGATCTGTAAATCAGACCAAATGCATTGCTAAAACATGTTATTATTATGTTTATAGAATAGAAGTTCTCATAACAAAACCAGTAGAAGAAGTATTATTATGTTTATAGACAGAAGTTCTCATAACAAAACCAGTAGAAGAAGATGTATTATTATATCTATAGAATAGAAGTTCTCATAACAAAACCAGTAGAAGATGTATTATTATATCTATAGAATTCTCATAACAAAACCAGTAGAAGATGTATTATTATATCTATAGAATAGAAGTTCTCATAACAAAACCAGTAGAAGATGTATTATTATATCTATAGAATAGAAGTTCTCATAACAAAACCAGTAGAAGATGTATTATTATATCTATAGAATAGAAGTTCTCATAACAAAACCAGTAGAAGATGTATTATTATATCTATAGAATAGGAGTTCTCATAACAAAACCAGTAGAAGATGTATTATTATATCTATAGAATAGAAGTTCTCATAACAAAACCAGTAGAAGATGTATTATTATATCTATAGAATAGAAGTTCTCATAACAAAACCAGTAGAAGATGTATTATTATATCTATAGAATAGAAGTTCTCATAACAAAGCCAGTAGAAGAAGTATTATTATGTTTATAGACAGAAGTTCTCATAACAAAACCAGTAGAAGAATTATTATATCTATAGAAGTATAACAAAACCAGTATATTATTATATCTATAGAATAGAAGTTCTCATAACAAAACCAGTAGAAGAAGTATTATTATATCTATAGAATAGAAGTTCTCATAACAAAACCAGTCTATAGAAGAAGTATTATTATATCTATAGAAGTTCTCATAACAAAACCAGTAGAAGAAGTATTATTATATCTATAGAATAGAAGTTCTCATAACAAAACCAGTAGAAGATTATTATATCTATAGTATTATTATTATTATAGAATAGAAGTTCTATAAAACCAGTAGAAGAAGTATTATTATATCTTAACAAAACCAGAGAAGATGTATTATTATATCATAGAATAGAAGTTCTCACAAAACCAGTAGAAGAAGTATTATTATATCTATAGAATAGAAGTTCTCATAACAAAACCAGTAGAAGAAGTATTATTATGTTTATAGACAGAAGTTCTCATAACAAAACCAGTAGAAGAAGTATTATTATGTTTATAGACAGAAGTTCTCATAACAAAACCAGTAGAAGATGTATTATTATATCTATAGAATAAAAGTTCTTATAACAAAACCAGTAGAAGAAGTATTATTATATCTATAGAATAGAAGTTCTCATAACAAAACCAGTAGAAGAAGTATTATTATATCTATAGAATAGAAGTTCTCATAACAAAACCAGTAGAAGATGTATTATTATATCTATAGAATAGTTCTCATAACAAAACCAGTAGAAGATGTATTATTATATCTATAGAATAGAAGTTCTCATAACAAAACCAGTAGAAGATGTATTATTATATCTATAGAATAGAAGTTCTCATAACAAAACCAGTAGAAGAAGTATGTGACTTCATTAAATACTCAAACTCTACTTCCCCAACTCTTCTGTATAATGAATGTAGTGTTTATGGTTTTTTTACCAGAATGTTTCAGAAGCCTGTGTCTTTATTCATTAGAATCAAGAATACATAATATTTTCTTTAAAATTGGGAAGATATTCTTGTTTTTTTATGTCAATTTAGAAAAATGACTTTTTATTAAGGGGATACAGCATGATTTGGACTGTGAAACATACCAAATGGTCATTCATTTTACATTTTACATTAACAAATCCATTAATAAGTAAACAGTATTTTTTCTCTATAATGTAAAAGCATATATGTATATTTTCACTAATGAATTAAATATCGAGATTATTTGTATGTTAACAAAATATCACAGTTTGGAACAATATATACCCTTCCCATTTGTGCTAGTATAGAAAGCCTACCAAATTTGAAAGAAGTTGATTGAAAACTGAGGGAGCAGATCTCCAGATAAGTTCAAAAAGCTGCAAAAAACAAAGGGCAATAACTCCTCAAAACCTCATAGAGTGAAAATAGAACAAAGGCAAATACTGGTATATGTAGCAGTTAATAAAATACTAAGTTTTAGAAAAATCAATCAAAAACTGAATGAAGAAAAATCCAGACCAGAAGAAAAAAACCACAAAGGACAAAAGTTCTTTCAAAACTTGTTGAATCAAAATGCTGTTCACAAAAAAATTACTTTCTATCATGGTTACAAACCTACCAACTTTCAAAAGAATCAGTTAAAAACTGATGAAGGTGATATCCAGGTTAAAAAGATGGTAAAATATAGTAACTCTTCCAAATTAAAATGCTTTTCAGGAAAACACATCATCACAAAATGATGATTAATCCTAAATTTGAAAGAGATTGTTTGAAATCTGCTGAGAGGAAATCTTCAGATAAATAGAAATTTTTGACAGATGGACAATGTTATAGCATAACATGTACTATTAAAATTTTTACAGGTGTATAAAAAAAGTTCTATCAAAGTGAACATGAGACCAAACAATATTTACCTTGTTCACTTTTATTCTTTTTAAAGAAATCTAGAATAGTCTTTTTCCTTTTTGCAGGTGGCTCACTCATTCTACGAATGTAGAATCTGCATAATGAAACAATATGTTATGTAACATGTAAAGCATCATATAATCAATATAAAAATGACATTTAAAAGGTTGATAGGAACTGATAACATATTCAATAGTTAATCAGGAATGATGACATCATAAAGGTAAACAAGATTTGATGATATATCTGCAAGGTACACAAGAACTCATGATACACCTGCAAGGTACACAAGAATTGATATATCTGAAAGGTACACAAGAATTGGTGATATTTGACACCAGAATAGATGCCAAAGAAGGGATCCCATGCATCCCATACAAATCATGACAACTTATATCTAAAATACATATATACTGGTTTACTCAAACATATCATTTCAAAAAGCAGCACAGCATTGCTCCTCCATTCCATTGTGAATAATGATGATATTGAATACTGGGGCATACCCATATATTTGGAGAAATATTGTTTGAACAATCTATGTTGATTAGATAAGACCTACGCAGTGGAAATCATGTCAATAAAGTGAAACATTCAAATTAATACAATGCTATTCTTAATGTATTACCTCCAAGCCAGATTGTCTGATCACAGTTCTAGAGACTGGCTTCTAAGCTTTCTGGTACACAATCTCTGCACCACAAAAATTCATCATTCAATAGCTAAGAACTGGAAAGCTCTGAAAATACATATTTTTTTCATGAAGTTTCAGCAAGGAAAAAGAAATTAGGAAAACAAAACAAGTGTGACAAACGTCAGTGAAACAGAAATTACTTATCACAGTGACCTACAAATATATATTTGAAACTGCATATAACACTCAAGGTTGTTTGTTTTTGTGTTAAAGTGTCCTTACACCAACAGTGTTATATTGTTGTGATAGATAATTTGAGATTGTCACATAAATAGAGAAGATAACAGAGCAATCACATTCCATTGAATTTTTGTTTTTATGCGTCATTTAATAACAAAGCACAGAAAAGCCTCTAACAACATGACACATGATAAGAACAACCCTGATGCAGTGATCACTGTAGTCACTCCATGTTGGTCAAATGTTCTTTAGCGCTTAATGTTATTTAATGTTATACCTACTGACTTAACATGAAATATATCATATACTTCTAAATTCTAGAATACTATCAGTATACTATGGACCAGCAAACTAATAATGGAAAAAAACGTGTTTGTAAATGTTGCTTCTGTAACTTTTTTCATACTTCAAAACCTGTTTCCCAGAAAAAAGATGGAGGATTTTCAAATAGATTGTTTTAACTGTCATGATGGCTGGCCAGCAGGCGCTACGTATATACTTAAGATATATCGTATATAGGCTTTTGATAAAGTGTGGCACGCCGGTCTCCTTTATAAACTAGAAAATGTTGGAATCAAAGGTAATCTACTTTGTTGGCTTAAAAGTTACTTATCTGAACGAAATCAATTTGTTGCCTTGAATGGCCAAGCTTCTGAAAAACGTTCAATTAACTCTGGGGCTCCTCAAGGATCTATATTAGGGCCTCTATTATTCTTAGTTTACGTTAACGACATCAGCGAGGGTATTTCGTCGGATATCAACTTATTCGCTGACGATACGTCACTTTCTTCGGCAATATCTGGTCAGGCCTCTGTAGAAAGACTGAACAATTATTTATCTATATTGTCTCAGTGGGCGAAACGATGGCTAGTTTCTTTTAATGCTTTGAAGACCGAACTTGTTCTTTTTACTCAAAAACGAGCATTGGTTATACCTAACTTAATTCTTGATAATGTTGTTATAAAACATGTTAATACACATAAACATCTCGGTGTTTTATTGTCTGGGAATCTGAGCTGGCATTCTCATGTGTCAGAAATTGTCGGTAAAGCTAATAAAATTTTAAACATACTTCAGTCACTATCGTATATAATCCCACGAGCCTGTCTTGAAACTCTCTATAAATCAATGGTTAGATCTATCTTAGAATATGGTAATGTATTATTTGATAATTGTAGTCAATTTGAATCCGACCTCATTGAAAGTGTACAGAGAAGAGCAGCTTTGATATGCACTGGTGGTTAAAAGGTAACTAAATATACTAAACTGTTAAATGAATTAGGATGGGAATCTCTTAGTGACCGAAGAAGAAATTGTAGACTAAAAATGTTGTATAAAATTAAGCATGATCTTTGTCCTTCATATCTTAAATCTGTATGTCCCCTACTTAACCATCGCACTCAAAATTATGGCTTTCGAAATTCTGATACTATTCTTCCCATAACATCTAGGAAATCCTTCTTCCACCAATCTTTCTTTCCCAAGTCAATAAGAGACTGGAATAATCTGCCTGTACATTTTCGCTGTAGTTCTACATTAGCATCTTTCTCAAAATCTTTGTGTAATAGTATGACTCCTCTGTCTAAATCTCTGTATACATATGGACATGGAAAGGGCAAAGTGAATCATTGTAGAATACGAATGGCACTTAGTGCCCTTAACAAACATAGATTTTCTTATAATTTAACTGTAAATAAATTTTGTGACTTGTGTATACATTCTCCTGAAGACGAGAAACATTTCTTTTTATATTGCCCTATATATAATGGATCCCGTATTAAGATGTTGCGTCTGGTATGTAATGAAATTGCTCCAAATGTCAATCCGATTCTTGTTGTTGAGCTAATACCTGATGTTCTAGTAAATATATTACTACATGGATGTGAAACTTTAGACTGTCAATCAAACAAAGTTATATTTGATCAAGTTTTCGATTTCATAATCAATTCAAACCGATTCTAATCATCTCTCTCTCTCCCTCTCTCTCTCTATCCCTCTCTCTCTCTCTCCCTCTCTCTCTGTCTGGTGTGCGAGCAGGTGTGTGCTGTGTGCGTGGATGAGTGTGCGAGTATCAATTTAATGAATGAAAGGAGTGAGTAAATGTAAGTAAGTTTTGTCAGTTTCGAATATGTTTTCTTGTATTGTACTATGTAATGTGTTTCATGTCGAGGAAAGCAACTAGTAGTCCCAGGGCTGTTTGCAATCCTCTTTAAACAAATAAAGAATTAAATTACTTATATCGTGCTGTAAAGCGGCTTCACTAAAATTGTCAACCAGCGAAAATGAAAGTAGATTCTTATGTGCCGATCTATTGGGTTTCGATTACCGCAACAGAATTCCCATTACTGCAAACCTTGTGTGATATTACAATATAAACTAAATAAAGATACATAAAAGTCATAGATACCACTACTTCCTTGTCCTGTAAATCGGTTGCTGACAAAGCGTTGTCTTATGCCGTCTGCCTCTTGTTTACTGTTACCGCCATCTTGGTTATGATAGCCTCAAACTAGGCACACTATATACGTTGTTTATTTACATATTCTTCAATATTGCATCTTTAACATATTCATCCTTTCAATTATAAATATATAAGCTTCTGAATATAAAAATTAGGTAATAATTCTTTATCATAGAAGAATGCCACTTAGAAGAATTTATATTCAGTTCACATCAACTATTTCCGCTTCCGGTCTTTTCTGTCGTCCATTGCAAACCTGCAAACATGGTACGTTCAAGGAAGATAGAGCATCGAGCGAAATCAGAACTTACTTATGATCTCCTTGCTTAAAACGAATCATGTATGCATTGAAAATTCAATAAAGATTAATTTGAATACCTTATTTTCTTGATATACTGTACCCAGAAGAAGATGTTTAGTTAACAAGATGTGGTTGGAGTAATCGAAGACTTGCTACTACGGTGTTTTGATTGTCAATTCAAAATAAATTTACCATGCTGGAACACGATATTCGTTTTAGGATATATGTCCAGACGTTTTGATGAACACCTGGACACCAAAACATGACGATGGTGTTGGTGAACATATATTTGGCGATTGGATTCAAATGAGAGTAAACAGAAGAAGTTCTGATAATCTTAACGAATTCTTGCACGAAAATAGCTATATTGATGAAAATCCCCTCCTCTCAGGTGATGTCGTTATTTCCAAGTAGCTGACACTATAATGAGTTATATTGTTACCCTGGTTATAAATCTGGATGAAATGACGTAAATGGAATAAATCTATTGAAAAGTCCAGAGGTTCAACACCACATGTAAGAAGGGGCTGTTAGCAGATTTCTGTTTTAAATATCAGAAATCACTTGACAATTTTAAATACAAGGTTAGTGGAGATCATAAGTGGGTAAAATAGATTTAGTAGTATATTTAATGTGTAATTTCAATGTGCACCTCTTTGAGAACATGAGCTCTCTTTCATGATCATTAAAGAATGATGTATAAAAATATCAAGTCTTTGAATGAATTTGAGACCCAAAACGTGCATTAATTGTTACATAACATAACATGTTTGCTTATTTCAGAATGAAGGGGCGGCTACCATCCGTACAAGGAAGTTTATGTCCAATCGTCTGCTGTCCCGGAAGCAGATGGTAAAAAAATTTGTCAAGCATCTCAAGTAGTTTTTCTTGTCAGTTCACCTTCATGTAAAGAAGTATTGTCCAGTTGTAGATTGTGATTGAAAATGCGTCTGGGCATTGTGTTGGAAGAGACATACCTGGTGGAAAGTAACTGACTTAAGTATCATTAGTTTTCGAAATTCCTGCAAAAAAGATGGTGGTTGCACATGCACATCTTAAGATAATATTTTGTAAGATTAGAATGGAATACCTTTTATGATTGGTTCATCATTATGTTGTCCTTTTTCTATCATGAAATAATTACTTGCTTCCTGGACTGCTCCAAATTGATTTTTTTCCTGAACAGCCTTTTGATTCAACATTTGGATAGTCTTGTCTGGAGATTACATCTCTCAGTTTATGACCATTTTCTTTAGAGAGAATTATTGTTTCATTTCCACATATATTATCATTCCAGTACAATGTACATCTCTTTGGCATCAGTTAGTTATATATTGTTCTAGATCTTCAAGTCTTTGATCTCTATTTTAGAACTACCAGGTAATCTACATTTTGCAACAAGCTTAAGTTACTGTGATTCAGTGTTATGTATTCAATAACTTCCAAAAAAAGCTCTACATATTGTGACAAACTGGTGTTACTGTGACTTAGGGTTAGTTATTCAATAACTTCAAAAAAAAAGTTGAGTTGTCATTGAAAACGGTGTTAATTTGTATCACTTATAAAGTTTAAACTTTGTTAGGGTTTGATATTTCTTTAAACTTTTATTTGTAGATCATCGATGTCTTGCATCCGGGAAAAGCCACAGTTGCCAAGACTGATATCAGAGAAAGGCTAGCAAAGATGTACAAAACAACCCCAGACACAATCTTCTGCTTTGGATTCCGCACCAAGTTTGGAGGTGGCAAGACATCAGGATTTGCTCTTATTTACGACAACTTAGACCATGCTAAGAAGTTTGAACCCAAATACAGACTTGTGAGGGTAAGAGAAGTAATTTCTGATCTTGATGATAAATCCATTTCAGATTTCTTTACTCTACAAATTTTGAAGTGACTTGTAGAATTTCTTTTTTGAAAATTAGGTTGAAAAAACTTATGAAAATTAAATGTATATTGATCATTGACCGAGCAATTTGGCTATTCTTTAAAAAACAATGGTTGATTTTTGTCCAGTATAAAGAACATGTATTAAGTGCCATATATATTTTTGGAAAGATTAAGGTGTTTATCTAATCTATTTGTGGTTGTGTTAAACAAGAAGATAGCTGTAATAGCAATGTATTGTGACATCCTAGTATGTCATACATCAGTCCTTTGCGATCTTGACACTGTCATTTTTGTAGGATTTTTCCTGGCAAGTCCAGAGCACCATTTCCTAAATTTTGATGAGTCGAGTTGCAAAGAGATGCGTAGATTCACAGAAATTTAGTGAGCCCCATTTGAAAAGCATGAATCCAGGAGTCGCTAAAATCACTGTTGACTGTTGCAATATTAAATGTGATTCATCATATATTTATTCCTTGAATTAATATCAGTTTCTCATCATTTTTTGTCTTCACTCTGTTTTTGCATTGTAGCATGGCTTATTAGAAAAACCAAAGGGTGGAAGAAAAAATAGAAAGGAAAGAAAAAACAGACAGAAGAAAGTGCGTGGAACGAAAAAAGCCAAGGTTGGAACAGGAAAGAAGGTAATTACTGTTTATGTTTCATATTTGTTTTTCGATAAGTAGACTTTGGTATCTTAGCAAATGGGGACCTATTCCTGTCATTAGTAACAATATAGAACCAAAGTGGCATTAGGTCACCAAACAAGTTTAATTCAAATTTTTACCAATTTGTTGTGTTTGAAGCATTCTGTGGTAGCTTTTCCCTTTCTAAATGAAAAGTTGGGAAACCATTATCATTGCAGCCTTGCCAAAGTAATTCCAGATATGATTTGTTGTAGAGGAATCAATGTTTTATACATCTCTGCAATGTAGTATATGTTTTTTGAAAAAGTAATAGGTTTAGACTGGTATGATATTTGACATGTTTGCTAACTTTGGGATACTGCTTTACAGAAGTAAAGAATTACAGAGAAAGTGGTAAGGCTCGTCGTGTGCACCAGTTTCAGTGCCTGTACTAATCTGATTAATTGGCATGGCTATTTATTTTTAACATTTTCTTCTGTTTTTTCTTGCTACATGTTTCCACATCTAGCTCTAACTTTCCCATAAGTATGCTTCTTGAAGCTTTATGCTGTAAAACCTGTTGAATTGTTTTTATAAAATGACTGCAAGAAAATGGCAGAAAAAAAGGAAACTTCAATGGAAAAAAACTTTTTTTGTACTTTAAATGAATACTTTTGTCCTTTTTTTGTCTTTAGTGTATGCATAGACACAGTTATATTTATCATGATCTGTATGTTTCTTTGTCTTTAGTGTATACATAGACACAGTTATATTTATCATGATCTGTATGGATCAACATTACGTTGTTGTAATCTATGCTTTTCATATTAACAATGAAAGTGGAATTTTCCCTAATATTGATTGGTTCAAGTAAATAATCTTTGGGAAGTAAATTACATGTGGTAAAAATTGCGAATATGGGAACATTCCACTTTTGACTTAAATAATTCCAAATTACATTTTCACACATCAGAAATTTTAATGAATTGAAATGCACATACTTGATTGAGAATTACCATTGACATATCATAGTGTGATCAGACCATAACAATCCTGCCTTGTCCTTATTTCACACGGAAAAAATGTGATTTGGAATTATCTTAATGTTTGAATGTCAGAGCAATCTCAGCAGCATACACTTCAAATTCTTGTTCTAGTAGACTTTGCTTATGAACTTGAAAATTCCTTCTTTAAGTATTCTTTGTTTTCAATCCATTTTGAGAAATGCTAAGTTGGTTCACATTGTTTGTACTTGTTCTATCAAAAAACATTTTGTCTGTTCGACATTCTGTTCATATGGTTACTTGTCCTGAAATTATATCCTTGTAATTAAAAAGTATACACATCTATCACCAAATTAAGATTGTGTGTGCATGATGAAGTGGTTTGTGTATACCTTGTTTATAAAATCTTTAATAAGAAAAAAGTGCATGCTTATCTTCATTTCTTTAACTATATAATATTTCAGCGATAACTCTATTTAATCTGTAAATTCTGAAAAAAATCTGCTTAAAACATATAAATCTGTAACGCTCTGATCATTCATGTTCTATCATTTAACCCCATTTTTACAACATTGATATTTTTGGTTGATATAATGGTAGCATTTAGCAGTAATTTTCCATATTTGATGAATTTTCTAGATATGTCTTTTTAAGGGTTATTGAATTAAGCTGGATAGTTTGTTTATTATGAAATAAGAAAAAGGAATGTATGGTTTATTTCAAACATTCAAGTAGAAATACTATTGAAAGACTGAATATACTTTTGAAGAAAGACATGATGAAAAAAAGGAAATTGAAACCCAGGAATGTTGATTGTGCTGTGTTATACCATATATCATATTCATTGCTGTTCAATGGAATTGCCAATAAATTCCACTGCCCTGTAATAAGTCCACTCACTGACTATTGAATCAGATGTATACACTGCCCTGTAATAAGTCCACCCACTGACTATTGAATCAGATGTATACATTGCCCTGTAATAAGTCCACCCACTGACTATTGAATCAGATGTATACACTGCCCTGTAATAAGTCCACTCACTGACTATTGAATCAGATGTATACATTGCCCTGTAATAAGTCCACTCACTGACTATTGAATCAGATGTATACATTGCCCTGTAATAAGTCCACTCACTGACTATTGAATCAGATGTATACATTGCCCTGTAATAAGTCCACCCACTGACTATTGAATCAGATGTATACATTGCCCTGTAATAAGTCCACCTACTGACTATTGAATCAGATGTATACATTGCCCTGTAATAAGTCCACCTACTGACTATTGAATCAGATGTATACATTGCCCTGTAATAAGTCCACCCACTGACTATTGAATCAGATGTATACACTGCCCTGTAATAAGTCCACCCACTGACTATTGAATCAGATGTATACACTGCCCTGTAATAAGTCCACCCACTGACTATTGAATCAGATGTATACATTGCCCTGTAATAAGTCCACTCACTGACTATTGAATCAGATGTATACATTGCCCTGTAATAAGTCCACCCACTGACTATTGAATCAGATGTATACATTGCCCTGTAATAAGTCCACTCACTGACTATTGAATCAGATGTATACATTGCCCTGTAATAAGTCCACCCACTGACTATTGAATCAGATGTATACATTGCCCTGTAATAAGTCCACCTACTGACTATTGAATCAGATGTATACATTGCCCTGTAATAAGTCCACTCACTGACTATTGAATCAGATGTATACATTGCCCTGTAATAAGTCCACTCACTGACTATTGAATCAGATGTATACATTGCCCTGTAATAAGCCCATCCACTGACTATTGAATCAGATGTATACATTGCCCTGTAATAAGTCCACTCACTGACTATTGAATCAGATGTATACATTGCCCTGTAATAAGCCCATCCACTGACTATTGAATCAGATGTATACATTGCCCTGTAATAAGTCCACCCACTGACTATTGAATCAGATGTATACATTGCCCTGTAATAAGTCCACTCACTGACTATTGAATCAGATGTATACATTGCCCTGTAATAAGTCCACTCACTGACTATTGAATCAGATGTATACATTGCCCTGTAATAAGCCCATCCACTGACTATTGAATCAGATGTATACACTGCCCTGTAATAAGTCCACCCACTGACTATTGAATCAGATGTATACATTGCCCTGTAATAAGTCCACTCACTGACTATTGAATCAGATGTATACGTTGCCCTGTAATAAACCCACCCACTGACTATTGAATCAGATGTATACATTGCCCTGTAATAAGTCCACCCACTGACTATTGAATCAGATGTATACATTGCCCTGTAATAAGCCCATCCACTGACTATTGAATCAGATGTATACATTGCCCTGTAATAAGCCCATCCACTGACTATTGAATCAGATGTATACATTGCCCTGTAATAAGCCCATCCACTGACTATTGAATCAGATGTATACATTGCCCTGTAATAAGCCCATCCACTGACTATTGAATCAGATGTATACATTACCCTGTAATAAGCCCATCCACTGACTATTGAATCAGATGTATACATTGCCCTGTAATAAGCCCATCCACTGACTATTGAATCAGATGTATACATTGCCCTGTAATAAGCCCATCCACTGACTATTGAATCAGATGTATACATTGCCCTGTAATAAGCCCATCCACTGACTATTGAATCAGATGTATACATTGCCCTGTAATAAGCCCATCCACTGACTATTGAATCAGATGTATACGTTGCCCTGTAATAAACCCATCCACTGACTATTGAATCAGATGTATACGTTGCCCTGTAATAAGTCCACTCACTGACTATTGAATCAGATGTATACATTGCCCTGTAATAAGCCCATCCACTGACTATTGAATCAGATGTATACATTGCCCTGTAATAAGTCCACTCACTGACTATTGAATCAGATGTATACATTGCCCTGTAATAAGCCCATCCACTGACTATTGAATCAGATGTATACATTGCCCTGTAATAAGCCCACCCACTGACTATTGAATCAGATGTATACGTTGCCCTGTAATAAGTCCACTCACTGACTATTGAATCAGATGTATACGTTGCCCTGTAATAAGCCCATCCACTGACTATTGAATCAGATGTATACATTGCCCTGTAATAAGCCCATCCACTGACTATTGAATCAGATGTATACATTGCCCTGTAATAAGCCCATCCACTGACTATTGAATCAGATGTATACATTGCCCTGTAATAAGCCCATCCACTGACTATTGAATCAGATGTATACATTGCCCTGTAATAAGCCCATCCACTGACTATTGAATCAGATGTATACATTGCCCTGTAATAAGCCCACTCACTGACTATTGAATCAGATGTATACATTGCCCTGTAATAAGCCCATCCACTGACTATTGAATCAGATGTATACATTGCCCTGTAATAAGCCCATCCACTGACTATTGAATCAGATGTATACATTGCCCTGTAATAAGCCCATCCACTGACTATTGAATCAGATGTATACATTGCCCTGTAATAAGCCCATCCACTGACTATTGAATCAGATGTATACATTGCCCAGTAATAAGCCCATCCACTGACTATTGAATCAGATGTATACATTGCCCTGTAATAAGCCCATCCACTGACTATTGAATCAGATGTATACATTGCCCTGTAATAAGCCCATCCACTGACTATTGAATCAGATGTATACATTGCCCTGTAATAAGCCCATCCACTGACTATTGAATCAGATGTATACATTGCCCTGTAGTAAGCCCATCCACCGACTATTGAATCAGATGTATACATTGCCCTGTAGTAAGTCCACCAACAGACTACTGAATCATAGGTATACACTGTCTTGCAATAAATTCACCCTTTGTATTTTCCAGTTAAGTAGGGGTTTTGCATTAAGTTCATGACAATGCAAGTTATGCAGATGATAGACACATTATTTCCATCATGTCATTCAACATAATTGTCCTATACATATCTTGTATTTTAGATACATTTAATTTCGATTTGAATATCTCTAGAGATGACTTGGTCAAAGTCATGATTTGTAGTTTTGATTGTCAAATGAATGATTAAATGTAGGCATCTCGTTGCTTTGTTTTTTTCACATACCAGACAGTGATATAGACTAACTCTTGTTTCTTTTCAGTAAGAAGATCAACAGCAACAAGGAAAGAAGATCATGGCTGGGGTTGTCAGTACATACACTGTGTAATAAAATACCTGTGGCTAAAATGGGTTTTGTTTTATATTTTATTTCAAATGAAAAGTTGAAAGAGTTTTTAAAATGTTAAAAGTATGAAATGTTGGGATACTTGAAACTAAGTTTGTAAGAACTGTCAAAAGAACTTGTCATCTTTAATAGTTTCTTCAGGACAGCCAATTTATCAACAGACCATAGGCTATACAAATTGATCTTTTAAAGCAATTCCTGTTTTCATCTCTGTTGAAGCATTGATTTAGGAGGAGTTATCTCATGGATATTTGTAATCTGCAAATCTGCAAGGTGCCAAACTTCCAAATAACTAAAACTGGATGTCATGCAAGGATTGCACAGCATGCAGATGCGCAGGTGACAACACCTTTCAGAATAGAGGTAGAAGGGTTTCTTTCAGTAGTGTTGACCATGCAGGCACAGTCATATTTAAAAGGCCAAACCACTTTGTTGACATCAATGATCTACACCCACTTACTTGCTTGGAACCAGTATCTATAGTGAAGACTTGACAAGTTGATCTGACTTTTCCCCACCAAAAAAAGAATCCCAACACATCTTCAGCATATATAAATAAGTATGTTTCAACATTATACCCACTGTTCCATGCTGTCATGTATTTGGTTACATTACAATGGGAGAAGTGATTAGAAGGGAAAGTATTTTAGATTTTTTCCAGTACGCCTTGCCCTATACTGCTCGTGGTGTAAGAAACTGCTTGTTGACAATTTATGGAAGAACATTTTCATGCTAACGCTCCTATTTGTAGGCAGCAAACTTGGCATCCACACTTTAATTCAACCTCTCTGTTTAAACTTTTCTTCTCCCTGATTTTGTACTGTCGCATAAACCTGACTAGTGTCAGGCTACTTATTTCATTTTCGATTCTCATTCCACAAAGCGAGTAGTCGGGTAGCAGTACAGTTTCTCGGTGTGGCCATGGGTGATTTTTTTGCTCATTAGATTACCCCATTATAAAGGTTTTAATTAAAAATGAAAAAAAAAATCCTTGCTAAAATTGGTCCTGTCATGTTAAATTGGACAATGTGGGGTTTTATATTTTTCAGGATAATATTTTAGCTTTGTGTTGGAGATTACTATTTGGGCAGTCTCGAATCTGTGTCTACACACCAAAAACTAGCTTTACAGGAAGTCAAATTTTCATAGTGTTTACATGTGGTCATGTTATGAAGAATTTCCGAGTTGGAATTTGCTGAAATGTAAGTACTTTGTTACCATGACAGTGTTGTTGATTGTAAGATAGGTGTTTAGAATTAAATTTCTCCTAGAAAGTTGTAGTGTCGGGTTGGAATTAGCAGTATTTTTGAATTTTTAGCATTTTTTCAGTAGGTAACCATGACAATCAAATGTCAGAAATCAGGAAATTTTTTTTTACACAAATTTCATCTCTCTACTGTTAATGTAATTGTAATTATGAATATATATACATGTAATGATGTATTTTTCATAACCAATCTGCTATGCCTGTATATCTCCAACATGACAAATAATTACAGGAAAAATGCAAATTAACTGTTTACTGCTACCTCGGTCTACTCGTGATGCCTGATAACGATAGGATGTGGCTACTTTGCTACCTCCAATAAGAAAATCTCTCCCAACAAAGCGGTGGTTATATGAATTCAAGCAGCCGACCCTATTGTACACTATGAAAGGTTTGCATGCATGTTTTTTCATATTCTGAACCAAAACAAGCGAAAAAAAAAAAAAAAAAAAAACATCGCATCAAAGTGGATTTGACATATTTCATAGTACAAACCAAAATATTGGTTAATATTTTCCTCCGTAGAAATGCATGCAGATCCGTGATCAATGAAAAAAAACCAACCAAATTAACATATCTCGTGTAATTTAGCCATAATACTGTCCCAGAAATTTCGTGGAGTTTGTGTAGAAGAGTTTCAAATATTACATAATCGTCATAAAAGCAACATTGTAAATATTTGATATTTCAATGGAATGGTTCCTGCATGGACTTTTAGATGTCCGGCAGCACACTCGTGGCGTTTTATCAACTGCTGAAAACGTAACTGTTTGATTTCATATATCTGGAAATGTTAATGACATGTCTTCCCTAAGATCATATGTTAGGTCTTGTTGTAAGTTGCCTTCTGATATGATATATGTTATTTGAATTTAGATGGAAGTATGAAATGTTGAAAAGAGATGGGAGAAGTCCATGATGGAGGCAATGCAACCGTACTATTTTCAGCTATTTCTGTTCTGTTGTAATATCGCCATATCTTGAAATCCATGATCGAGATTTCTGTAAGCTGCCTTGGCGAAGAACCTCCAGTAACTGCCCGCGGTGACTTGATTACTTGTATCTTTACTGATTTGTGAATACATCATGATGGATAGTAGAATGACATAAACTTGTAAATATCTAAACGTAGATTTCAACAGTTTTAACTTGTTGCAACTTCTTGAGAAGTAATTGAAATTCTTACATTCAAGATGTTTGTCATTGGTTGTGCATTATGTATTTTGAGACTTATTAAAACATCTTGATAGGGCATGCTTCTTTATTGTAAATTCTGGCTAGCAGGCAGTCTTCGCGGACTCACGGTTATACAGTATATTATTTCTGAAATTTTCTTACATAGATAATTACTGGATATATAATTCTTTGTATATGTATGTTTTCCTTTGTCCATAGATGTACTCGCAGTGATACCAAGATGTGTGTATATGATTTTGGAACCGATTTCAAAGAAAAGAAAAATTGAAAAAATATGTTGCAAATATCTCTTTAGGATCCACTTGGCATTGACATAATACATCACACGTCTCTGAATTTGTTCCAATTAAACATACCCTAGTCACTGTTCTTTTTTGTGATATCAGCCAACATTTTAATTCCATATGTTTGTTCATTTAGTTCTACATACCTTAGACAAGCAAATGCATCATAGGTTAAAGGTCATGGTCGCATTTTAAAATTTAAGTATGCCCCAATTTTGTCATAAAATTAACATTGTCATCAGTCATGATGATACTTGTTATATACAGAAAATAGAATCAATTATTTTTACGCTGCATAAAGTTATATTCTGATATAACTAGGTATGCTGGAAAGAAAGCAATTCGGTTTGTAAGAAGCAGAACATTTGAACAATGCAAGCCCATTTGGTCTCTTGTATCAAGGACGCTCGGCACAACCTGTCTAGTATTCGTGCAAATATAAGACAATGTTAATATAAAATTACACTATATGAAAACGTGTGATCTGATTCAATGAACAAGACTTTTCTAACCTGTAGTGCTAGTAATTACACCGTAACCAACAATGATATTAATAACCAATGTTAATATAATGAAAACGAGAAATTTCTAGTAATTACCAGATATTAATAACCAATGGATTTCTTCTGTCGAAAACAAAGACAAGCCAGTCACGAGACGGATAAAGTTCGTAAGCTATGGTTGTATAAATAGTCTGTCGGGTGATCTGAAATTATCACCAAAGTCAAATTAATCCTCCATCATGTTCATCTTTATTCATTTATTCGCCTTTCAGACGTACTTTTCAAATAACATTTGCCACACTCCTAACAAAATCCGGTAACGAAAAACGGGATTGTACTTACAGTGTCACTACTGTCGCTGTCGTTTCTGACCGCCATTAATGTTTTTACTGTGATGTGCCTAAAATAAGAATTTCATGGTTTAAAAAAAATTAAAATAAGTGTTTTCTCATCGGATAGCTTGCACAGTGGATAAGAAAACAATGACATGACGTCATAATAAATGTCATGACAAGGCTATACTGACGTCATACTTAGTTACATCTGCAGCCAGCGTAACTTACAATAGCATGCATTTTCGAGACAGTAAGCGATCGCAGAAAACTCTCATCTTGAAAGATAAAGAAGCAACTTATTAAGAGAAAAACATCCAAATATCATTATGAAGACAATGGACGAGGTACGTTTCAACTATAGGCACTGGTTTTCTAATATTAACAGAAGAAAGATTATTAATGTTGATGTTTACCTTGTCCGCATGGGATTCGCTAAAATGTACATGGCGGATATTTATAATAAAACAGGTGTTTACCCTTCCAGAACACACGGTCTTAATCTCCTTGTGCTACCTCATGTGTCACCCTGTAAATCATTCTTCTGTTCCTATTTTCACCGTCTTTGAGATTAAAATTAAGATTTTGTTATTATGTCTTTTATTTATTATCAGTCCACCGGCATCAGATGGTAGACTACTCAAATCACCTAACGCCCACAGTCCGTTCGTTCTTCAGTTTTATCATCCAGCGTGATGATATCTGTGACCTGTTGTGTTCTGGTACATTAGGAAACATTCCTACAAAGCCACCAGCTTCTCATGAAGTGTAGAAAAATGTTCCGTCCTCTGATAGAATTCACGAAGCGAGGCATTTGAGATCAACGATGTTGATCGAAGTTGATCTCTTCAATCTCAGCCATTCACCTGGACTGGTACACGATTTTTATTATGTTGATGTTTTAAATTCCAAATGATATCTTGAAAATGAAGTTTTATCACAGACAAAACTGCTGGTCGTATTTCTAAATCCCTTTTTATTTGAATTTTCTATCTAATGATACAAGGAAAGTTTTTTCTTCACATTATATACATAATATTAAAGGATGTTTTTCTTCTTCAAACATAGAAATCTCCTGTTTTGTTGCTTAAATATTTTAGTTGTGTTCATCTGAAATCCTACATGTATTATTACCAAGTTATTACGGTTGGTTTCCAGGAAGTCAAGCGGTAAGAGAGATTAATCCAATGGGAGAGTGTATCTTAACGGAAACCGAACAAACATCAAGGAACTTCTTACAAACATCACAGTGAAATTGAGCTGTGATAGAAATTCTTTAATGGCTGCTGTCTACAGTATATATACATGTATATAAAGACAGCTCTTAACAATATTAAAATAACAATAATTTGTGAAAACAATAAACGTTTCAATTTTGTCCAAACACCTAGGATAAGCTTCCGAATTCGAAAGACATTG